GGAGAGGTTTCACCTGGTTAACAGCTTCTGCCCGCCTCCCCACCACCACCACCACCATCACCACCACCACCACCACCACCACCGGGCCCAGCCGCCGCCGCACAGTCACCCTCATCACCACCGGCCGCAGCCCCATCTGGGCAGCTTCCCCGAGAGCTGCAGCAGCGACTCGGAGTCCAGCTCCTACTCGGACCACGCAGGCAATGACTCCGACTTTGGCTCCAGTTTGTCCAGCTCCAGCAACTCCGTGTCCTCGGAGGAGGAGGAGGAGGGCGAGGGGGAGGAGGAATGCGAGGAGGAGGAGGAGGAGGAGGGAGAGGAGGAGGGGGGCAGCGGGGCCTCGGAGTCCAGCGAGGTCAGCTCGGAGGAGGAGGACTCCTCGTCGGAGTCGGACTCCAGCTCCGGCTCCAGCCAAGTGTCAGTGCAGAGCATCCGTTTCAGGCGCACCAGCTTCTGCCAGCCGCCCGGCGTGCAGGCGCAGGCCAACTTCCTGTACCATCTGGCCTCCGCCGCCGCCGCCACCAACCCCGCTGCTTTCGAGGGTGCAGGCCGACTTCCCGACCTCAAGAGCAGCTTCAAAGCCGAGTCGCCGGAGGAGTGGACTCTGCAGGGCTGGGCCCCCAAAACGTCTCCGGTGTACTGCCCGGCCGGCCTGGGGAGTTGTTTCACGGAGATAAGGAACGATAGAGTATCTGCGATTACATTCCCACACTCTGAAATCTCCAGTACTGTAAAGAGAACTGACCTGACAATTAACTGCCTGGCGGAGGGGGCCTCTTCACCTAGCCCAAAGACAAACAATGCATTTCCACAACAAAGAATACTCCGAGAAGCTAGGAAATGCCTGCAAGCAACTCCTACTACACACTGTGCCGATAGCAACACAATAGCGGCTAGGTTCTTCCATAACGGTTCTTCACGAGCAGCAGCAAATTCTGAAAAAGATTCCAAAATCCCCCCTTGTACTGAATTTGCTACGGTTTTGCCCCCTTTGCGGACTGATCTTGGGGTGGATGCAGCAGCACCACCGACGAAAGCCGAGAATCCCTGCACTGACACAGGCGACAAGACACTGCCATTTCTGCACAATATTAAAATCAAAGTCGAAGACAGTAGTGCTAATGAAGAATATGAACCTGACCTTATTACAAATAAGCTAAAGTGCGAGTGCAATGATACAAAGGGTGAGTTTTACAGTGTGACTGGAAGTAAAGAGGAGGACGCCTTGCTAACCACAGCCAAGGAAGGGTTTGCATGCCCTGAAAGAGAAACTGCTTCCTTAAATCTACTGGCTCCCAGTCAGGGCCTTTCATGCACTTTAGGTTCTCCCAAACCTGAGGATGGGGAATATAAATTTGGTGCCAGGGTGAGAAAAAATTACCGGACACTAGTCCTGGGAAAGCGACCAGTACTTCAGACACCTCCAGTCAAACCAAATTTGAAATCAGCTAGAAGTCCTCGTCCTACAGGTAAAACTGAGACACATGAAGGAACACTGGATGATTTTACAGTTATAAACAGACGCAAAAAGGTAGCCAGCAATGTAGCATCAGCAGTGAAAAGGCCGTTTAATTTCATGGCAAATTTTCCTTGTCCACCATCACTCATTATTGGGAAGGATGGGGATTTGTGGCCGGCGTATTCCTTAAACACCACTAAGGATTCCCAACCTCCTCATAAGGCCCATCCTATCTGGAAATGGCAGCTGGGCGGTTCTGCAATACCTCTTCCACCTAGTCACAAATTCAGGAAATTTAATTCATAAAAGTGTTTTGGAAGATATTTTCTTGAACTGTATTACCTTCCTTTTGTTGTAAACTGCACAGGATGGTTTGTACAAGTCCATTAATGTGTTACACCCCTTTTGGAGTCCTGGTTTATCGCATTTTGAAGACAGAAATCGGATTACTTTTTTTTTCCATTGCGGGTTTTTTTCTTTCTTTCTTTTTTTTTTTTTGGAGTAGGGTGGGGGCGGGGTGGGAGAATGGTTGGTTTACATTCCACAGACTACTTCAGGCTAAAGACTCAAGTAAAACTCAGTTATTACAGTAGAGCTGGAACACTTTACTGTTTCAATGCTAATAATGCACCCGGTACCTCAATTCAACTGCTACAAATAAATGTCAAAAGGTTGAATAATAAATATTACAATGAGCCATTAAGTTTATGCACTAGATTTCAGACCTGAAAGCGTAACTTCATTCAGTGAAAGTTTGTTAGGTTACATGGTTACACAATGAGGTAGCAAAAAGTTTCTGTGAGCCCAAAATGTTCTTTTCTGGAGCTCTTATTTGTGGGGTTCTTTTTTCTTTTTCTCCCCTCATTCCCTCTCCAAGAGTAGTTGCACTTAATTTTTCTTTTCTTTTTTCTTTTTTTTTGGAGTGGAAAGATTGGAGAGTCTTGATCGAATGCTGATAAAAGCTGCCTCATATACTGAGTAAAATAAATATGAGATTGTATTTTTTTTTTAGAAAGGGTGTGATTTTACTTTTACAGCCACTCCTTGCAAATGGAAAAGTCCTTTCTGTGTTCTCATCCAAAGGTTTTAAATAAGGTGACTCTTACTATTGTCCCGCTTACCTTGTGGTCTGAACATGACTCCTCAAATTTGCAGAACAATTAAAATATTTCTCTTAAGAGCAGGATATTTTATGATCTGACTCCTCATAGTGACAAAGCAGTAAATAGACCCAAGACAAGTAAAATGGGTCAGAGTCGTAAGAATACCCCAAATTAAAAATAACCGTTATTTCAGGGCTTTTTGGTATCAGAACTCAGGCACTTGGATTTTATTACATTTTACTTTTTCTGCATCTCTCTAAACTTTTGTTTTCAGACCATCCTGTGTATAGAGCAGGAGAGTTTCTACTGCAAGTGACAATCAGAGGTGACTATCTATATTTGCACTTAAAATCAAAGTAGTTCAACATGCAAATGGCTAGGGTCTAGCCCGTGGTAAGGGCCCTGCTGGTGTACTATGTTGTGATGATGGAAGCAGTAAATCAAAATTATGGAAATTTGCACTGTTGAAAAGCATGCTTTAGCTTTATTTTCAATTAAAAACACTGTTTAAAATTCCTGGTTCCATACATTTCTACTTATTCCAGATTGAAGAATGGTTAACAGGAATGAATGGTTTTGTTGACATTTTCACTTGTAATGTTTTTGTCTGAAAGAAATGCATTTATTGGGTGTAGTGTTTTGTTGTAATACCATGTGATGAGGCCAGTCAGGTTCCCTGTAAAACACTGGTGGACTCCTTCCTGAATGACAAGAAAACTTAAAAAGTTGTTACAAATCAAGTGCAAAAAGTTTTGGGTTTAAAAAGATGAAGCAGAAATCAATTGCTATTTTAATGCAAGTTAAATCTAATCATTTTTGGTCCACCTCTCCTAGTCTGACAAATTATGTATCTCAGATCTTTGCCATCTTAAACCTAAGAATTTGCATCTATAGATCATAAATCACAAAACAAAACATCAATGAAATGTTTACTGTGTGAATTTAAGTCCCTATTTCTCATGGAAATTCAGTCTTTTTCCCCCTTAACCTTTTAATTCCTACTCCCTTTGAAAATTTTCTTTTGTCTATAAATGTTTCAGATAGATCTGGATGGTCTCAGCCCTAATTGCTATATATGCTCTGTGGTTTGACTCTTATTGTAAAAGACAGAGGCTGAGCATACCTGCATCCAAATACACTTGGATGGAGTAAACAGATGCTTTGAACTGCCTCCCTTCCTTTCCTTCTTGAATGTTGCCAGATGTAAATGCACTGGATCTTTTTTTTATTGGCATGATAGATATGGTCAAAGCAAAAATTGGGGGATGTTATCCTTGAATTCATGTTTGTGTGTATTTCCAAAGACCAGTACAAGTTACATTTAAAGCCCCAGAAAGCTGAACAATTGACTTCTCAGTCTGAGTTCTTTCCTCTCTGGAAGGCGATACAGAATTTGGGTGCAGTGAGTTGTCTTGCAAAATCAATCTATAAAAAGTGTGACATACACACACTGGAAGTCTGTCATTTCTATTCTTTAATTACTGTTAAGTCAAGAAAGTTCAAAGTATGGTGACTACTACATTTAGATTAGTACTTTTCTTGTTGGCAATGGAATCGCTGTTCCTAAATTATAAATTGAGAATATATTTGAAGCCTACAGATCTTGGGCATGGGTGGACCACGAGATGGAGTAAGCACACTTTAAAACAAATATACCTTATGGAATTTCTGACAGAAAATATCGGCCTCCAGCTCTCACACTTGGTTTTCCAGCCCTCAGAGAATCAATAGTTTCAGTTTATAGGAGCTGGAGAATGAGCAGCATGGAGGCCGAGCCATTCCAGAGTGATACCATCAAAAGGAAAGAAATTAAATAGTCAACACAAATTTCGCCCCACAGTGCTCCTACAAGCCAGCCAACCACAGCAAAACCTGAGTTGGGGCTTCTGTTAGGAAAGTATATGAAATAGTATTCAGTAACTTGCAAATACAAGGTATTCTTTCAATTTCTGGTAGCCCTTTAGCTGTTTGCCCTTTCTTCTTGTGGGAATTATTCCCAGAACAGTTTATTTCATTTTGGTCATCTTATGATTAACGACAATATCTAGGTTTCCTAAGATACTATAAATGTCCCATTTGTTCAAAAAAGTTAAGCCTTATTGAGAGAAAAACAGAAGTTACCTCCATTGACAGATTGCATTTCTACATTTAAATGTTTTCAGGTGATAGATTTTTTTTTTCTTTTAAGGCACTGTATATGGTTCCAGGGTCACTAATTCCTATGTCTAAAGTCCACCATTCACAGACATAAGGAAAATGCTGGAAGGGGCTCTTTCTCAGACTTTTTAGGAGAAACAAGCCTATTTTGGGTCTTCTAGAAAAGTAGTTTCCTGATAAGACTGTGAAATGAAGATTTAATTATTTTTTTAGGTGATGTGTTTACTCTGTCTTCCACAGCCAGGTTATCTGCCTTTTTCATAAATGCAGCTTGCTCTTTTTCAACTATTTACTTTTTAAAGTGGGTGTTCTTTCCTACTGGCTTACTTGATTATAGTAGAGTAATCTCAATAATGGTTGTTTATTTTAAAATCAACAACAAGGAGCCACCACTAAACAGCAATAACACAAACTAAATGGGCTGATGTGTGGATTTTTATCTTATCCGTGTCTGGGTGACTTTCAATGGTCTAGAAATTCCTCAAAATTCCAGCCCCAAGAATTGGAAGTTTCTGCTGCTATGAGAATGACAGTTTTGTTTGCATGCAGGAAGAGATGTAGACTAATTCCTCAAAAGCATTTTTTTCTTTCAAAGAAAGAAAACAAAAATCTTCATGGTAAAAATTTAAAAAATAAAATAAAATAAAGCATTAGCATCGACAAAAGCCATAAAATGTGGTGAGTTTTGCTTCACCTTAAAAATAACTTCCTGTTTAAAAGGATGTGAAAAGGAGAATTTCCAGAGCCAAATTAGGGGTAAAAATTAAAGGCTCCCCATCAACTAACCTCAGGAAATTGGCAAGGAGGAACAGGGCATCCACCTTAGGGAGTCCACCCGGTCACCCCGGTCTTCCCCAGGATTTTCCCCATCCCTGGAAGGAAGAATTATTTTTAATGCTAGCTTTGGTTTTGGTTTGCTCCCTAGGCCAAAGGGCATTTTTGCAAACTAGCCTGGGGGGTGGGGACTTAAGGCAGATCTAGGAGGTGGGGGAGGGCTGCATTTTACCTGTTTGGCAGGCCCTCTTTTGCTATTAAAAAAAAAAAGAAAGAAAGAAAAAAGAAAAAAAGGAAGGGGGGCCCAGCTATCATTCTTTGCCCATGCCCTAGGCCCCCGCTCCTCTCTCGCTCCTTTTCAAACTGTGGCGGCCTCACAAGCTCCTACTTTAAAAGGCCTGAGATGTTTTGCATGAAGCCCTCACAATAGGGGTTGAGGGAATTGACAGTTTCAAAAACAAGGCGTTCAGTCCTTTCCAGCTGCCGGGCCCGCTCTCTCGCACCAACTCTTCGCTCCTCGCTGCTGGTGGCGTCCTCGGAAGCCAGAGGCCTCCCCCACCCGGCCAGCGCGCATTCCGGCCGCCCCACCCCGCCCCCGGGCTGTGTTTGTAAACAGGGGTCAGTGTCCGGGGTCTGCTGGCGCGGGGACGAGAGAGAAGGCAGGGGACGGCCGAGCCGGCGAAGGGTCGGCCCAGGGACCGAGGGGGTTTCGGGGTCCCTTTCCCCCGCGTTGTCTCCCCAGGCGCCGAGCTCTGGCCACCGCGCGAACCCTGGGCAGCCCTCAGCTCTCTGGCCTGGGCCACTAGCACCAGAAATGTTTAAATGCCGCCATTTTGCATGGTGGCAAACCAATTTCTTTGTGACTTTTTTTCCCCGCCCACATCTTGCTTTCCTCTAAATTTGTGACCCTCTTGCGCCCCGGATAGAAGAGCCCGCACCCCTGTGCGAGGCCCCACTGCTCTGGCGCAGCCTCACGTCCTCGCGGCCTCGTGGCCAGGCCCACCAGGAGCAGGGGCGACAGGGCCCACTGCCGGCCTCAGCACCCCCTCCTCCAGGCTGGCCGTGGGGGACTGGGCCTCCTGCTCTCACTTGGCGCTCTTTTTTGTGTTCTGGAGTCTTCTCCCACCCCCGCACACACACGCACGGTCTAGCCCTTTCTCACTTTGGCGCCCAGGCCTCATCTCTCTTTCAAATGGGCCCAGCTTTTTGCACTGGGCAGAGGGCTGGCCAGGGCCTCCCAAATGCGGTTGTGGAATGCAAGTGGCAAAGGGATGGGGCTTCACACTGGGCCAGCCAGCACGGCTGCGAACGCCTCCTGGGAAGTGGCCCAAGACCAGAGGCTGGAGTCAGGGCAGGGCCCACCTGAGTACCCCGGCGGGAGTAATGTGCTGGGCCGAGGCCTGCTCGCGTTGGCGCGGTGGTTTCTGTC